TGATTATAATCAGTGGTCACAAAAATCTATAAACACACTATTTACATATATAATTTAACATAATTTAAAAAAAATTCTATCTACATATACAAGATCACGAGAGACTTATAACATCTTAAAATCAATATTTTTCTGTAATTATATAGGTTAAATTTATATTTGTTTTCAGGGTAAAATTATTGTAATTTAAGAAAAAAAGTCTTGCGGCTTTGTTAAAGCTATTTATATACACATTATATATCAAACTACATCAGTAAATAATTATAATTAAGTAATTGTCTATAATATAGAAAAATAATTTCCTAAGTAAATTAAATTTTACATTTATAAATATTATTAAAAGTTTATTAACACAATTTTTTCTTGATTATGATCAAAAAATAATTATTTGCAGATTAAAATAAAAATAATTAGAATTAAATAGAATTGAAGCAGCATAACCAGCAAACGTCAAATTGACATGATTAAGCGGCACAAGTTGTCTTATCTATATACATTAACCATTCATTTTATTCTTGGATTATATGACAACTCCAATACTGTATGAGAAATAAATACGAAATAAATTGAAGTCTGACGAGAAATGTAATATAGAAATATGAAATATTAATGTAAAAAAACAAGATGTAATATAATCTTGTGGATGCGTTGCACTCATCATCCCATATATAATAATAGCCGCTCCTTGATCAATGATTAGGAATTGGTCACAAATGCTAAATAGCAATATAGCTACTAACAGTTGGAAATCAACTGTCAATGTTTTAAATTTCGCGTTTGTATTTGTAACCAATTTTTTATTGGCTGCTACCATTATGTGCAATGTTACACCTTGTTTTCTTCATGGAATGTCGTAAAAAAAAAAAAATGGAATGCGTAAACGCAAAGGGCCCTACAGCTCGGTTTACACCGGGCACTTGATGATGAATACGCGTATTGACTAGAAACTTTCTATTAAATATATTATCTTAATTTCTACAATACATTTAAAGAATGAATTAATTAATTCACATATTATGTATATGTTTACGTACATCGTCGAAATTAAGAAAATTTAATAGAAAGTTCTGAATAGTACGCGTATTAAATGCTCAGTGTAAACTAGGCCATTGGTAGGTATCCTATTGCTAAAGATCCTATATGTATCAATCTGTGGAACCAATCGCTCGATGAACAGACTGTGTGTTTCAAAACTCATCGAAATAAAAAGTGTCGCGATTTTATGTCGCGCATGGCGAGTGTATATATACGTATAAAAATACTAATAAATTTTTAAGTTGTTTTGAAAATCTGACAAATTTCCTTTAATTAATATTACTTGTCATATTTTTACAAATTTTTAGCAAAGCAAATATATTCACTCATTAATTTATCATTCCATTTACTTTATGATTTTACGAATTAAACTAATCTAATTAAATTCTTAAGATACGTTTATTGATCTTATATATCTGAATGTGCCTTGTGACTCAAATATGGGGTCTGAGGTTGATAGAGCGAGAGAGAGAGAGAGAGAGAGAGTTTGCGCCGAATCTACGAATCGCTAATCAGATTAGAGTCGCGATTCGTAGATTCGTAGAGACTACTTACGATCCATCAAGAGTGTGTATAATTCTCTATAGAGAGTCGTGCGTATTTTAAATAATCCTCGGTAATACCATCGACGAGATATTATTAAAGACCAACCCTTACGGGAGTTAGCGTGGCTGTTTAGTAATTGCTAAAATTTAAGCAATTAGTTAATGATATAATTTTAATTTTTAATTTTTAATAATATTAATTTTATAATTTATTATTAAATCAATGTTTTTTACATGTACATTGTATTTTACCTGTATTACAGCATACTAATAGTTAATTTTATTTAAAACTGCATTTTTATATAGTTACCATCAGTATTTGATTATACAGAGAGATGGTAACAATAGAAAAAAATTGTAATTTTGCCGCAATATATATGATATTATAGCATTATAAGATTTATATACTTATTTATTAAGCATTTATATAATAAAAATCATGATTTTAATAATGTATTATTCAAATGTAATATCGCAAACTTATTATGTCAAAAGTCGATAACGTCGATACTCTGCAATTATCTCCGGACCCTTTAAAATTAAGGGATGACAGTCTTTAATAGTATCTCGTCGGTGGTAATACACAGAAAGGGCGCTAATCTGAATTAAATTTGCGTTTGCAAGATCGAGACAACAGTTGCCTAGTCAGTTCAGGTGCTACTCCGCGAAATCCAAATAAATAAAGAAATTACGTTCGAAAATTCTCGGGCAGTCTGGGCACTCATCCTGACACTCCCCCAAAAAATATCTTACAATCAGGTGTATTAAAATAGCGCTCACTCGGAAGAAACGCACGGCGATCCTCCGGGTTGGAGAAGTCGCGATTCCAACACGTTCAGGCACACACAGAACTTTCCGTTTGATATTTTATTAAATATACTATTTGGACAAATCGTTTAACAATTTCGTTATTAAATATATTATTACAACAAGTTCTTTATCTGTAATAACAAAATAATGTACATACATACCATCGACACGTGCAGCGTAGCGAATTGTCTTGCGAATGACTGCGACGCCATGATTAAAATCATGCTTAAAATTAATTCTGTGCTCTGTATAATCACTGAATGCTGCATCGCAGGTGATTTGTCTTGGCTCTGAGTGTGGAATATTGTGCAAATTTCTGATGAAAAATCTCCTCCCCCCCCCCCTCACTTTCCCTACTCTACCAGTAATTGATAAAATTTTGGATTAAAATAATATATTTCTACCTAAAAAAATTATCTTCTTTTCCTGTATTTGTGATTAATAGTCAAAAATCCCTGGCATAATTAAAAAAATAGTTATGAATGGGGAATTGCATATAGTATTAAAAGTTTGTTTTTAATGTCTGCAATTAAATAGTTCATTACTGTTAAAATTTCAAAAATGTATAAATCTATACGGTATATATTGTCAACAATAAATTTATCGAGATGTGTTATCATATTATTATAAGTGACGGACCAAATATACTTCGTTGACAGCGTCTGATGAGCTCTTAATCCGGACGAATCCGTGTAAATCGACTGGGGCATACAAGTCGCGAATAAAATCGCGGCAATATCGACTCAATCCGGATGTGGAAATCCACACCCACCTGATTTTGGGGTGTGGATTGCTCCACACAATTCACACAAAAAACGTCGGGCCTGCTGCATCGTACGTATTTCTATTAGTGACGATTTCTATTCTTTTTTATTCGGATTTTAAGAATTAAGTCTGCAAGTTTAGCCTACGTACGATGTTTCGCAATCATTGCAACTTATTTTGTAAACCACGTTCGAATGTGATATTTAAATTTCTTTTCGTGCCATACAATTTTCCATAAATTAGGCACAATATATGGGTTAATTGATGCACTATCTTTCACACCCTGTTTTCCATCAGAACTTGGAAAAGGTCACTCACATATGTTTCTCAACAATGGCTACTCTTGATTTAATTTTTGACAGCATTAAAAAAGACATTGTAAATTCAAGCATATTAATAATTATATTAATAATCATAATCTAACCAATAGTAATTTTGAGGATGGGATAAAAAATAAGTTTTCATTTTTTACTATTCCATGTATTCTTATACAATTGCTGAGAAAATAAAAAAATTCTTCATTTATAATAATCTCAAATTCATATAACTTATACTGAATTGAATAAATTGGGAAGATTCATTAAAGTACAGAAGATAAACTACCTCTTCTACATATTCGAACGTGGTTTACAAAATAAATTGCAATGATTGCAAAGTATCATACGTAGGCCAAACTTGCACTTCTTAAAACCTGAATAAATGAACATAAAAATTACATCAATAGAAATACGATGCAGCATTCAGTGATTACAGAACACAAAATTAATTTTAAGTGATTTTGACATGATTGGGACTTTATAATTTTAAACGAAGAAAAAATTTTAAATATAAGATTAATCTCAGATGATACACATTACTAAGCAAAAACAATTAGGTTCACAGAACACTAGATCTTTTAGATTCGTTCTATTACGTATTCGTACTCGGAACATCTTAATGCTTCCATGTTTTGTTTTATACTATATTTTAAAAACACGTTTATTTTGTGTCGGCTTACATTGGCTTTATTCCTATTTATTTATTTATTTATTTATTTAATTCATAATGCAAATATATTTATATCATAATTTCATTTAGGCCTGAATTTTACGAATATCGTTTTGTTTAATAATTTGTGACAATTTTCATTTATTATCATTTAATAATATAATTCTTATGAGCCTTAACTTAGCCTCAATTAAATTTTACATATAAAAATTTTGTACAAAAATTATTGCATTTAGGTAAAACAGACGATGTTAGAATCTCTTTAAACTTAATAATATATCCATTAAATTGCTTGAAGAAATGTCGAATGTTTTAAATAAAAAATGTTTTCCTATATATTGGTTAGCTCTTTATTTTTTGCATTAATATTATACATATTTATGAAAGAATTTTTCATCAAATTTTTTTAAGAAACTTAAAGAAACGTACAAAAGAGTTCGAGACAAATTTATATTTTCAATAAATATAATTAAATTATTTAAAGAGAAAAATTGTTCTTGTCAAAAACGTTTTAAAGATTTTCAAAGTTACAATTTGCAATTTTGAGGTTGTAATTGTCATTTTACAAAAACATGTTCTGGATTTGATTGTATATACAAAACAATATAATACATTACTGCTTAGCTATATTATTAACAATACTCGGGTACTCTTCATACATACAAAATGTTTTTTTACATGTAGATAAACATGAAAATATCATGTATACTTTTTATTAACAAATTAGTTAACGTTAATTAACTAAAAATGTAGAAATAGACAATATCAAAAGACTTATTTTAACTATTACTGACACTATTTTCAGTATTTGTGATATTTGTGAAAGAATAAATATAAGGCATAAAATTTTAAACGATGCGACTAAAAAGTTTTGAGAACTATGCATTCTTTAGAATGAAAGAATTTTATGTATAGGAGACCCGATGGCTTAAATGATTACTTTAAAGTAAATTGAAGAATTTGAGTGTAAAATTATATTTTAAGATTTTTAATACCTTTTACAATTGAAAAAAAATGCTAAGAATTTTAAGAACTTTTCAAAAGAAGTTTAAATCAAAAGAATCCAGAACGCTACATTAAACATAAAATATAGGATGACGAGATTTTAAGTGCTTTAAAGCTGTTAAAGATCTCAAAAAACCAAGTCCTCTTAATTTCTCTTTACTTTAAGATCAATATTAAATTTGACAATCTGAACTAATTCTATCTACACTTCTGTACTCAAGTCAATTTTAGATGCAATCAGTTGTACCGTTTATTTAAATTCCATAATGTTTTATTTGCACTAGAGCATCTTCTTAGATAGAGAATAGCTTAGGCAGTTTTCGCACGAATAGCAGCACGTTTTCCAGTGACAGCCTAAAATAGATACAGAAAAACATGTTTAAAATATAATTATATTAAATGTATATATAGAGAATATAATTACTTAAGATTATGTTAACCAACGCGAAATATATTAATATACGCACACATATATGCACGTGTATATGATATATATGCATGCATACATAAATATATACACATACACATGTTATTCAACACTAGAGCAGTTGCCTATTAACTAAAAGATTCAAATTTGATAAAAGATCCAGATTTGTTAACAGATATAATTATAATATTGTGCTTCTAGATGACAAGTCCAGAAATACTGATAGATACAGAAAATTACATGCACGAATATAACAGCTATATTTCCACGATTATCTTTAATAAAGATATTGTAATCTTCATTTGTATTTTTTTAGAATATATGTGAATATATTTAGAATATGTGTGCATATACACATGTATCATAATACATACAAGATGTTTTAATATCTTTAGGACTAACTTCAGGGAATGATAGATCTTATCAAAAGAATTAACTTTTGTTAAGGCATCTGTGTCCTTCGACGTATTTTTAAAAATCTACATATCCGATCGTGCGTGATGTCTGACGACACTAGTTCATATCCTTTTCGTCTTTGCAAAAAAAAAAAGTAAAAATATGGACTAGTGTTAGATGGCATGTGCGACCGGTTGTCTATTTCTACTTTACAGCCAATCCGAACCAGCTCCTTAAAAATGCATTGAAGGGCACAGGTTTCTTAACAAAAGTTGATTCTTTTAAGTAATATCTACCATCTTTGAAATTTGTTCCAGAGGTTCTGAAATATCCTGTATAACGTGTTAAAGAATTTATTATTTTTAATTAAAAAATAACTCACCTGGAATCCAGACTTTATACTAGCGACAGAACATCTCGAACCGCAGGTTTCGCATTGCAAGAAAAAGAGTCGAGTGTCCTTCTGAAGAATAGTATCGGGTGAACGACACGTGTGACACGTTACGTATTCTTTGATATATCTTCTAAGAACGTTTTCTATTTGCTTCTGTTGGAAACGGCCTTTGATAATTAGCTGACTGTTACCGTCAACTGAGCCACTTGTACCCAACTCCGCCAGCAAAAAATCTAGTAAATGTTTGGGCTGTCTGTGCAATGTTTTACAAATCTGTAAAATAGAAATATGTCGAATAAAAACTATTTCAAATAAAAAATTTGCAGCATAATTTATTTTTCTGCTTTCTATATATATTCATTATACAATACAAATTATTATCAAAAATTATATATACTTAAATAGATATTATTTTAAAAAATATAATTATTTTTATAGTTATAAATATATCTAACGTTTTTATCAATAAAATTTGTTTTATGCAATAAAAACTATGTATATATAATAAAAAATTGAAGATTATATATATATTTATATTTATTTAAATAATCTGTATTAAATTTGTCTTGTTATCTTCAAATTAGATGATTTCTTCGTAAGCTATTGGCATACAAATTTACTATAATTCTTATTATAATACATACCTCAGTAAAGTTAGCAAAAGATGTTTTTTTCGTTCCAATGCGTACCACTTGCGGCGGACGCATAACAAACTTCTGTTTCTTACCAGCTACCATATCGGGATTCTTCTCTCGCATGATATTAAACACTCTAACTAGTAATTCATCATATGTATAGTCTCTATCTGAGCCCATCCATAAACTTGGTTCCTCCACTAAAGAAAAAAATAAACACTTCTATTAATTATGACACACACATTAAGAGAACTGTTAATAAATTTCATCGATTTCCACATGTAAGATTATTACAATTAAACAAGCAAGTGCAAATAAGAAATTAACATATAACAATATTGTAAAATAAATAATTAAAAAATTGTTTAATTGATAAATGTGTAACTTATACTGCAATCTAATATTTCACATGGAAATATAAAGACATATGTTGTATTGTTCAAATAACACAAACACACGTGCGCGCGCGCAAACACATGTGTATGTAGATAGATAAATAGATAGATAGATAGATAAAGAGAAAGAGAAAGAGAGAGAGAGAGAGAGAGAGCGAAGGGGAAGAGGAGGAGGGTCGCCATTATGCCATTTTGTTTTTGAATTATATTTCTTAAACGCTAAAAGCAAAAGATTTTTTACTGTTAATGTGGTGTGTATTATCTACCATAAATGCTAAATGCTTCATTGTAAATATGCATATAAAGTACGCAATATTAAAAATGAAAAAATATATAAGTTCTTTATTCTTGAATTATATATATGGAAATAATTTTTTTTTAATTTATTATTCATTGTTAAAATAGATTTATGAATAACAGAAATGTTCTTTTCCTGTAATTTGTGTTTTAATTAATAATTCTAAACATTTTGATTAATTATAAAATCTATTTTTTGTTAGAAATATAAAACATTAATAGATTGAATTATATTTTTACCCATTTATTAATAAATAATTAAAAAATTATTGATATTTCCCAAACAAATGCAAATATGCAAAGAAAATTTATTTTGATGTTTAGCAAAAGATTCATTGCTTTTTCAGTTTTACAGTCCAATAGTTATTAAATCCACAATATGATTATAGCCAAAAGTTAATATTTAATATTAATGTTAATATCAACGAAATTTTAATTTTTAATGTCTTTGCAAAGAAATTAACGATATAAGAGACACTCAAAAGATCCATGCATTTAATATATATATATATATATATATATATATCCTACTATATATCCTACTAAATATTTTTGTTAATTTAAATAATATAAAAATTCTTACAAAGAAACAATGTAAACCCAAAACTTTGACTTGAATTTAACTTTTATGAATATGTATAACTCAATTCGTGTTTTACTTTGATGTATGCCCATTCATGTATTGAATTACTTTATAAAATCTATAAAAATTCATCCAAATTGAAGATTTCAGGTTTGTGATGTTTTTTTGTTAGTTTTTATAAAAACTTTTTTTAAGAATTCTTTTAGAATATACTGCATAATTATTTGTGCAATATTTTATAATAGTCATATTTATAAAGTATATAAATTCTTTTATATTAAATATATGCAAAATGTAAGAATATTATTTTTATCATTTTCCATAAAGATTATTATAGATTTTTACTTTTTTTGAATTTTTAAATTATGCAAAAATTTTATTATTTTATAACTGTATTTGTTGTACAATTTTTTGTTTTTCAATTATTTAATGCTAATGTATAAAGAATATTAAAATAACATTTACCTACAAATATATATGCAAATAACTATATGTACACATATACATAAGTTTTGATTCTTTTATGTGTTAATTACTTATCAAAATTTAAAAAAGCATATTTTTTAAAACTTCTTATAATTAAAAAATTATTGCAGTTCTAATTAATACAATTAAAACAATATTTATATTATTTATTAAGTGTATATACCAAAGTTTTTAAATAAATCTTTGTTATATTATGTTTTCTCTTATATCAGAATAAATATGTATAAATTATATTTTAAAAATAAAATAAAATTTTTCAGACTATAAAACTAGTTCAATACATTCCAATATTACTATCATGAAATATATAAGTGCAAGATAATCTAGTGCATGATTGACGCAATTAGAATACACCAAGCATATTTCTTACCATACTCTGCACTTCGCTCAGATTCAGTGCAGCATGTTAACAAATAATGAATAACATAAACAACTAGATGCAAAAACATATTGGCAAAAATCATTTCTTATTGGTGCATACCATTCTCCTTGTCTTCAATCTCCTTGCGCTCTTCTTCAGCTACTAATTCATCAAGATCCTTCTTCTTTTTCTTTTTTTTCTTTGTTTTTGAGAAGTCCATATCTAGATCAAAATCATCATCTACCACAATTTCTTCGATCTGTTGCTCTATAGCTTCCTGTAAAATCAATAAAATTGCCAAAAATTAAAATATATTCTAACATAAGGCTTTCTAAATATGTATAAATTGTGATTCACGTTTTATCATAACAAACATCTTCTATCCATTTAACTTTAAAAAATATTAAAAAAATAAGAAAAGGGAATACATTATTTATTTATTTTATTCTTTTTACTTTTTAATTCTTTATTGAATATAATTTTATTTACAAATCTATGTCTCATCTATAATTATTATTTTATTCTTTCTACTTTTTAATTCTTTATTAAATATAATTTTATTTATAAATCTATGTCTCATATATAATTAAGTATATGTAAAAAGTATGCTTTTTTCCTATTTCTGTTGATCAACAGGTATGATCAACATTGACGCGATCATTTTTCATGTGCAAGGAATTCGATAATTGTAATTTAAAGTTTGATTTTGATTCCTAATAGGTGAAAATCTATCTTCGCACATGTACAAAATCATGAAAGGATTCACGCATGTAAATGTATAGCACATAAAATAATAAAGTGTTATTTATCATTTTAAAACCTTTTATTACCTATCGGTAAATCGCGATCCATACTTTAAAAATCTCTCTTCTAATCAAATATTATATATATTGCTTACGTATCAAGATTTATTTTACGAATTTCTAGAATATTTAGAAAATAACATTAACAAAATAAAATAAATTTCTTGTTCATACAATATATTCATAACTAAACATTTTGTAGTGGATATAAATATATATATATATATATATATATATATATATATGTCTATAACAATAAAAGTTGAATGATTAATAATAAAACTAAAATTAAAAATATTCAATATAAAGTTTCCAAAAATGTTTTTACCTCCTTCTTTGTATCAGGCAGAGCAGCTTCTAATTCATCTAAGTTAAATGCCTTTTTCTTCTTTTTCTTTTTTTTGCCAAAGTTTTCCAAATCCAGTGCCTCGTCATCCTCAACAACTGTTGGCTCAGGTTCCTGATTCTCCTTGTCAACGGTATTTTCAGATGTATCACCACCACTGCCACCTTCGTTGAAAGCCGCATCAATATCGAAAGCAGTCTTCTTCTTCTTCTTCTTCTTTTTCAAGGTAGGATCAAATACCTAGCAATTTTTGAAGAACGAAAATGAATATAAAAAAATTTTTGGTAAACATAAATATCATAAAGGTATTAGAAAATGCAGCATAAATATAACATATAAATAGTATCTAATGTTGAATCCTCGTTATAAAAAAATTTTTTGTACAATTAAAATAATTATTAACATTTCCAACAAGTGGGTTTTCGATATGTTATATCACCGAATGGTGGCTTTGCGGTTTCAACCTCTTCTCGAGGTTATGACGCTTTTCATAATCTTAAATCATTAATTTTTCATTTTTTTCTCTTACCTCCATTATTTAATTTCTATTCTTATTATCTCAATTTTATATTACTTTCCCTATTCCTTTCAATATTACTCGCCTAAATTCCTTTCACAAACTTTCAAAAAATTAAATAATGTAATATTCTTTTCCAAGTAAAAATTTTGAGGTTGGAATCATTTTTCTCGCTTTCTAAATGTCATTATGCACCGATAATCCCTCATAAATAATAAAAAAGTAAAATATAGTTTTGACAAAAAAAAAATTGGAGAACACAGCATGTCGATTTCATGCATATATCAGTTTTGAATAATTCGCAAGTTGCATTTTACGTACCGAATCTTCCTCCGTCATTTTTCTGATAGAATGCTCTCGTTTCAAATGAAGAAAACTTTTTCCTTACCACGAACTTAAGCGACATAAAGCATACGAGAAAAATTAAACGAAATAATTTCAACTTTTACTGCACACGCTTTTACTGCTCCAAAAGGATTGCATCAGAAAATTTCAGTGACTCTACTGAAGAGAGTCCATCATCCAGAGAGCAAGTGACAATTTTCAGCGCTATCATATCTGAACGTAGACGTGGCGAACTAAATTGAGGTTACGGTCCAAATTGATGCTACAATGCTTCGAAGCATTTTTTGATTGGTCAATTAGCAAAATCCTTTCTTCTGATTGGTCAGTCAAATGCTTCGAAGCATTTGTTAAGGTACCTTTTCATACTGACGCTCGACGCTCATTTTCAGCGTCAAAAGTGTCAAAATAGATCACATGATAAAAATTAATGCTTATAGCCATGGTGTAAGCATGGTGTTTTCTTACACCATGCTTATAGCGTTTTCGGACGGAACGGGCTGGAACGGGCTTGATCGCTCCGAGAGCGGTTAATAACGTCACGTGGTCTCCTCGTCCAATCAGAAATCTAGAATAGAGCATGTGACGTCATTAACCCGCTCCAGGGTTGACACTGGCTGTGTTCCTTTTGGACGCTCACGCTCTGTAAGCGCTTATAAGCTTCGCTTATACCGTTCCCTTTGGCGTTATAAGCACAGTATAACCAGTAGGTCCACTTAGAGTCCTAGATTATCAGAGAAGCGCGACCGGCTTATGGCAGTATCGCAAAAGTACTAGAAAATATTAAAAATGGCGTTGAATGGCCAATCATAAGATTGATTTATTCG